TCATAGATTCTTCATTCGCCAGTCACATGCAAAGAATGACAGAAGGGTGAGTCATTGATGTTTAAACAAATGTTGCTTTTGCTTTCTATGCTATTTAAATGGTTATTACTTGCATCAAATCAATCACTGAATCTGATATTTTTGTACCTCTTTATGAATGGTAAGTGATGCATCTTATGTGTCTTTACAGAATTTTAAAAGTAATAGATTTAGGTCATAGAGATTCATAAAATAGTCCCATAGAGAATATCTTTTGAAATGGAAGCTGGTCACTGGAAAATTGTTGGTAAGACTTTAGGTGGTATTGTACCTCATGTCCGTGAGTGGTAGATGTGGACCTATGGAGGCTTGCAAATGATCTTTTGGATGCTCATTTAGGTCATAAAATAATTAAAGAAAAAAAAGATCAAACAGGAAAAAAAAAAGATTAGATGGGGTGAATTGAAATTAACATCCATATGTTCTCATGGCTAGTCACTTTTTTTTCTGGCTTTGCAGACCATAGCAACTGTGTGTATGTTCCTTGCTGGGAAAGTGGAAGAGACTCCTCGGCCACTTAAGGATGTTATTATGGTTTCATACGAGATAATGCACAAAAAAGATCCTGCTGCAACCCAGAGGATCAAACAAAAGGTTTTTTATATGCTAATTGTGTTTGACTGGCTTATTTGTAGTGTGTGACATCCTGATGCTTGCCAAGCTGTCTTGTTATTGCCATTCTTCTTCCTCCAATTACTATCTCTCTTCTCTGCATTTTCTGCTCACACACCTTCAGTTGCTGCTGCCATCTCTCTTGCTCACTCTCTTTCTACAGAACAAGATTTTTCACCCCTCTAATCCTACTTCATGCCTTATATAAAAATAATCAAGCATGGTTGCTTGTGACAAGTACCTTTGAAATTAGAGTTCACATATGAAAGACTGGGTTTTCAAGTATGACACCTGGTGAATGATACTGCCAAAGTACCAAGAATTACTTGGCAGAAATTGCTTAGCTAGCATCGGACAGATCATTTTCACTTTTGCAGAATTTACCACCATGCGCCCCTTGAATTAAAAACCTTGCTCAGAATGCTCTTTTTTCACCTGCTGAGCTTTGGTAAATAATCCCCCTGATACCTTGGATTCTCCTTAACATTATCCTTTTCTGTTACTGTAACTATGGAGCTTCTAAAGTTTACTCATTGATCCATGTTTACCATGCAGGTAGTATATGAGCAACAGAAAGAGCTTATTTTACTCGGGGAGAGGGTTGTACTTGCCACTCTGGGTTTTGACCTCAATGTTCATCACCCCTACAAACCACTAGTTGAAGCAATAAAGAAATTTAAGGTTGCACAAAATGCCCTTGCTCAAGTTGCGTGGAATTTTGTTAATGATGGGTATGCATCATGTCCTGTTTTTCGAGCCCTTATTAATTCTGTCCAGTGGTTTCTCCTCTTTCTTTTCTTCACACTTTAGAAAGCGCTTGCAGGCTGAGGACTTCACTCTGCCTGCAATTTAAAACCCATCACATTGCGGCAGGTGCTATTTTCCTTGCTGCCAAGTTCCTCAAAGTGAAGCTTCCATCGGATGGCGAGAAGGTCTGGTGGCAAGAATTTGATGTCACCCCGCGCCAATTGGAGGGTTGGTACCTCCCCTTAACATTATTGTAAGACTCATATGGACTCAATTGGACAGTCTTCAAATAGCCTTGTGACACTACCAGTGCTGCACAATTGTAGCAGCACTTTGACCCATGAAGTTTTGCTAGAACTGACCCTGATGAGATTATTTTAGCTATGACCCTGATGAGATGATTTTAGGTATCTTTTTTATGCAACTACTATTGATGGCAACCAGAAAAGACTATGGGTTGGCTAATGGTTATGATCTTATGAGGTCAGAAGTTTGGGAGGGCTATGGATAGGCTACCCATTTTCCAGCAACCGGTGCTGCTGGAGTTGATTGTCTGTCCTCTCGAGTCTTTTATTTAGTTAATATGCATTTGAGTTTTTTGTTGGCTCATTATGGATGTTTTGTTTGCAGAGGTTAGCAATCAGATGTTGGAGTTATATGAGCAAAACAGAGTGCCCCCATCACAGGGGAGTGAAGTAGAAGGAAGTGCTGGAGGTGGGTCTGGGCATCGACTGCCAGCTAAAACTCCAGGTGAGGACCATGTTTCAAAGCAAACATCATCACAAGCAGCCTCTGAACCTCTATGTCAAGATGACAATGTGGCACCACCAAGAAACGCCCATAATCAAAATAATGATAATGGGAGTGGAGAGACTGACAGTGTTATTACTGATCACAAAGTGGAGGTCGAAACTAGAGACTGTGAGCATTTCTCCCACAAGGAAATCACAAGAGACGACCCCAATAAATCCAGGTATGGGGCAGAGCAACTAGGGGAAGAAGACCAAGAAAGAACTGCAGGGAGAAATGATGGTGCAGATGCTGGAGAGTGGAGGGATGATGCTGTATCTCATAAGTCCACCAGCTTAGGTGGTAGAAACTTGGATCTTCGAGAAGGCCTAGTTGACCAGTCCCCTAAAGATGCTATTAAGATGATAGACAAGGACAAGCTGAAGGCAGCACTTGAGAAAAGGAAGAAATCTCGAGGGGAGACAACGTGGAAAAAGGATATCATGGATGAGGATGATCTTATTGAGAGGGAACTAGAAGATGGGGTTGAGTTGGCAGCTGAGAATGAGAAAATCAAACAAGAGAGAAGGCAGAGCTGGTCTAAAACTGAAAATCCAGATTATATTAACGATTATGCAGAAATTGGGGATGGAAACCATGTGATCATGAAAGGACAGTCATCATGTGGAGCAGAATACGCAGAAGAAGGGGAAATGTTAAATGATGCTTCCCCCATACTGAATGACCGGAAAAGAAAAGGGAGCCCGGCTGAAAGGCAGTCAGATGGAAAGAGGAGGCATGATTACAACCGTGATACCATGGAAGATGGACACAAGATGGGGAAGAGTGGTCATGCGGAAAGGGAGCACAGAAGGCATCCACAAGACAATTATTTGTGAGGTAAATGTCAAAGGCACTCTTTGTATTTCAGTTATGTGGTCAGCATGATCTCGGGACTCTTGAGACTATGCCTGAACACTACTTATTAGTTTGATTGTGGATTGCCTGTATGGCATGCTTCATTGTAATACAAGATAATGGATGGGATGCTTTAAATTTTGAAAGTGGCATAATCACCCAAAAAAACAACTAAAGGAAAGAAAATGAAAGCGGTCGTTACATTCACTTGTGCTACGTCGATGTTTAGACTGTAACTGCTGTTTTCTGCTTGATATCATTCTGAGTTTATTGATTGATCTACTTGTATTCACTTGCATGGCTTCGATACATCACTCCACCAGTCCAAATCACAATCCAGTTGTAAATCACGAGCTATTGGTTTATGAATATTCAAGTTATGTTTCAATACTTTAGGTTTTGAATTGATGGTTTTGTGAGTTTTTTTTTTATATGGAAGTGGCTGAGCCTTTCTTTACTCCTCTAATGAGATGAGATTCTAAATCCCTTTTTATACCTTTTTGGGTTTTAATTTGTTGAAGCCAGAGTTTCCATCATTGTTCTTGATCAATGTGGGAAAAGCTTTGCAGTTTATATATATTGGATTGGCCATCATTGCACTTGAAAACTATGTTTTGATTATTTAGAAGAAATGTATTATTTTCATCGAAATTGTTTTTTCTAGTTCATGTGTAAAATTTTGTGACAACAATTATTTATTTATTTATTTATTAACAACTTAATTGATTGAATAAAAAGAAACAATAATCAGAAAAAATGTAAAAAACTATAACAATTTGAAATATAAAAGTGTATTTTTAATAAAAGAGTAAATTTTCCCATTTACGCACTTCTTTTTTTAATTCTTTTGAAGAAAATTATGATTATGAAAATAAGTTTGAATTAAAAAATTGAGAATCAATCATCTCCTCAAACATGAATTGACTTTAGAAAATAGCAATAATAAATTTTTAAAAATTATACAAAATGAGTACATTATTTAAAAATAATTTATATTAAATTTATACATTATTATCAATAAAGCAATGAATAATATTGTTATAAAAAAATCCTAATATTTTTCGGAAACAATGAGATTTTTTTTTCAGGAGCATTTTTTTGAATAAAAGACTAACAATTAAAATAAGGGTTTATCAGAATTCTCAATAATTTCAAATAAATAGAAAAAAGATATTTCTTTAATCTAATCTCATTTTCTTATTAATATATCTTTTTTTTTAACAAAAACTTGTTTTTTTTTTGTTTTGTTTTTTATTATTGCAGGCATTGTTTTTCAAATAAAAATCAATCATGATGTTAGAAGTAGTTTTTTTAAATATTGAAATAACATCTTAATATTTTATATATGATTGAAGAAAAACTATTTAACAAATATGATAGAATCATATACAAATATATTAAAAAATTTTAGTTTCATTAAATATTCATGAGAATTTTTTTTTGCTCTAACACATACTAATTGAAAAGAAAATTATTTACATTCCCATAAATAACCTATAATATTATTTAACAATCATGGAAAATTAAAAAATAATTAAATTATCTTGTAATTATTTTACACTGCATTTCAATTAAAATAAAAAAAAACACATATAAAAAATAACTAATGCCTGAGTTAGCCCAACAAAAAAAAAAGGCTCAACATGTCTGGGCAATTTATGAATTTAACCATGACTGGAAATTTGAGGGTTGATTCGAACTTGTCTTCACAGTCGATGAAACAAGAGAATGTCGTCTTATCAGCAGCACATATGGATCGGTAAAAGAGAGTTCAAGGTAAGCCCACGAACACAGTAGCCATTAATTTTAAGCTGATCTCTTATCCAAAAGCTATGGAAAGATAGCCAGAGAATCTGAAACCCACAACAAAACACCCCTAACCAATGGCAACTGTCCAGCTCAGCTTCCATCCTCCTTCCACCTTATCCCCGTTATCACCACTAATTCCTCCTTCCAAGAATCTAAAAACCATCTCTCCACACTCTCCCTTCAATCCTCCTTCCTTGTTTCAACTATCCTTTCTTTCCGATTTAACACTAGATTGTAAGAAAGGAAGGAAAAAAACCCTAAGGCGAAAATGTCACTTACTATACCAAGCAACCTCTCCATGTTGAAGCCAAAACTTGGGGTCTCTCAAATGACCCCAATAAAACCAAGATCTATGATTGTATGTTCAGCGTCACAAACACCATCAACACAAGAGAAATCATCATCACCACTCCAAGCATTCTCTGCTGCACTTGCACTCTCTTCAATCCTCTTATCAGCCCCGCTTCCTGCTGTTGCTGATATCTCTGGCCTAACCCCATGCAAAGATTCCAAACAATTTGCCAAGCGTGAGAAACAGCAGATTAAAAAGCTAGAATCTTCTCTAAAACTTTATGCACCAGATAGTGCACCTGCTTTGGCTATCAAAGCTACTGTCGAGAAGACAAAAAGAAGGTTTGACAACTATGGGAAGCAAGGGTTGCTATGTGGCTCAGATGGGCTACCTCACTTGATTGTGAGTGGTGACCAAAGGCACTGGGGTGAGTTTATTACACCAGGGATTTTGTTCTTGTACATTGCTGGATGGATTGGATGGGTTGGTAGGAGTTACTTGATTGCTATAAGTGACGAGAAGAAGCCAGCAATGAAGGAGATCATCATTGACGTGCCTTTGGCTACTGGTTTGATCTTTAGAGGTTTTTCTTGGCCTGTTGCTGCCTACAGAGAGTTTGTCAACGGTGATCTTGTTGTCAAGGATGTTTAGATGACCGCCCAGGTTTGTCTCTTTTTTCTATAGTTTGTGTAAAAATCATTCATGCTTTATTCACTTAGAAATCAGATATGGATGGATAATCTTCCATAAACATAAATCATGTAATTAAATTATAACCAGATACCATATTTCTAGTAGAATTTCCATTTACTTCCATGGGCAGTTCCAAATTGTAATTATAGTTAAGAGTATGAGGTCTATTTAGAACTGGCGCGGGGATTTTGTTCCCATTTTATTTATACTATTCAATGAACTAGTTTTCTTTTTTCTTTTTTCTTTTTGTGTGCGTGTGTGGCATTTTGACTGTTTCATTAGTGATTGGTGGTGGGATTAATTAACGGGCCAAAAATTAAACTAAAAATTATGTGCTTATTTAATTTGGTTCTTCGATGCTAATGCCAATGTTGATTTTGTTTTTATCACTACTACTACTTTGGTACAGATATATTTGAGGGACTGGCTAAGGAAAGGAGTGCAAGAGTGGTGCATTGCTTGGGATCGTGTGTTGATGAGGAGGGGGAGGTTTCTTGTGTTTTATTTCTGAACATTTACTTGTATGTATCGAATGCTTATGTTGGACACTATGAAAATCTCAAGACAATGTTTTTTTTTTTTTTCCCCTTGTGCGGTAAGAAGTTGACTAATTTATCAAAACTTATTTTCTTAATTTATCAGAACTTATTTTCTATAATATTATTAAACATTAAAAAACAGAAATTCATTTTTTTAAAAAAAATTACTTTCCAGCAACACAAAAATCACCGAGAAATGTGCCATGCCATTCATACTCCAGCGAGGAAAACAAAAACATAGAGAGGAGTAGACTAGCTGCCTTGCTTATTATCGCTCGCAGCTTTGCCTAGAAAAAGAAACTTGCTCTGGAGTAAGTAATTGATCTATTTGGTGACATTTAGGATTGTTGCTAGAAATAACCAGGAAGGCTGCTGCTATAAACATTTCTTTCTTAAAGTTTCTCTGAGATACTCTCATTGTTAAAGACTGGAGGAAGAAGACAAATACACCGACCTCGAAGTTTGATAAACACGTTTAATGGGCTTATACTTGATAGTAAATTTGGATAATGGGTGCCCATGGCTTCCTTCCATGGAGACAAAAACTTGAAGTTTGACAAGTCATTTCATTGGGCCAAATTATAGGTAAGTAGCCTAAGTTTTCTGCTAGCATTTCAAGCCCGTTCCTTGCTTTTTGTAGCTTCAGCAACTAAAACTAATCATCATGGGTATGTTTTCCTACTAAATTAGCATGAATTACTCGCAGATTAAAAGGAAAAAAAAAAAAAGGATTTGTGCAAATCACAAACAGTTGATCTGGCATGCAAGTCTATATCAGTAGATGCTTGTGTCCGTTGCTAGTTCTTCACGTATCTTATAGACTTTCCAACCTCTCGATTCCAGTCCCATCGATGGAAAGTTGGGGATAGATGTGTACAAATATGAGCATCTGATATTCTTATAAAAACACAATATACAAAATCATTATAGAATCTGCACATTATCAACCACAGTGAAAACATTGCACTATGACTAAAAACAAAAGAGGGAAAACCAAAGTCAATATATTACTTAGCTTATATGGAAAATCCATCCAATGTTTACCCATAAAGTCCATAATCAACCAATATATAACTATTTACTATAGTGTTAAGTCAGTTAATCTAAAAACAAAATATTTAAATAAATTTACGTTGAAACAATCACTACTAATATTATCACTCAATTACTATTATCACTACGAATATTATTATTATTATCACTACGAGCATTATCATCATCATTACGAGCGCTACTATTATTATCATTACTACCATTACTATTACCACTACTATTTTGTGCTACACCCCTTTACCCATACAAATACATAATTATGATATCAAAATAAAAAAAAAATATATATATATATATATATATGTAGATTGAAAACATTGGAGACAGAATCAACCTAGATATAGTAGTAGTAAGGGTAGGCATGGCATAAAAAGGTAGCATGCATATCCTAGCATGACCACATTGACTCTCCTAAGCTGGTGTGATCCACCATATCCATGTCGAACATCGGCTTCATTTGGGACCCCATGAGCCTAGAAGATGGTGACCCACTATTACTCGGGCTAGCAGGACTAAGCCCGTGGTTTGATAGTGTCGCTGACTGCCTCACTCGCAGGTGCACCACCTCTGCCTGAGCCAGTGCCAACTGGGTCTGAAGTGCATCAATTTGTTGCTGTAGAGATGATATAGCACCCACGCACCCATACACTGGATCACGCACCCTGGCATTAGCTTCATACACCATGCTGCTAACCGCATCTCCTCGCTGATGCACCGGTAGTTCCTGATAAACACAAGGGACCATTTTAATTCTTCAATTTTACGGTATTACCAAGTGTTTTGATCTTGAATTTCAATCTGGAAGGATCCTACACTTACCTAATGTACCTATCTTATCTTTAATTGAAATAATAATTATTTCTATTAATAAAATTGAAAATTTATGCCGGCCATGTGCACATGATATCATGATTACATTAAGCATGAGTCATTTATGCTGATGAGTGTACAGAGATCAACTATAATTATACTTAGTTTTCTTGCATGATTTTTCATTTGGTCAATTGCAAGTTGCTACTTGGGGTGCATGTCTCTATCAGTTTTTTATTGGAATTACAAGCTTCCTTCGTCCACCGATTTTTTTTTACACATAAAACAAAAGATCTTTTCCCTGATAAAAAAAAATCAAGCTCTTTTTTAGAAAATGGCATTAATGTCCCTCTCATTAAAGATGACGACAAGTCTGTAAGCGTTTTATGATCTAGGGGGTCATTTTAAAAAAAAAGGTCCAGCTTCTATCTTGTCATCCCTAAATTATTAAAATTATTGAGTGCAATTTACAAATCAACAACTTCACGTGATTTCTTTTTTTTTTTTGAAAAAAAACAGCCCTTGATTGGTAAAAAATAAAATAAAATAAAATATATCACATGGCCAGCAACTACTTGTAGAAAGCAAAGCCACCCATAACATATATTTTTTACAAGAATATTTGTCTGCACTCCCATCTTAACCCCAGTTGGATTAAGAGTTAGCCTCCTAATTCTTCATTCGATGAGATAGAGACAAGGGCGTCTTTTTTCTTTTTCTTTTTTTCAAAAAAGAATTAGGAGGCTAATCTCATCTATCATGTAGATGGATTGATGTTAATTATTTGTTAAACACACTTTATTTTGTATGTGGATTGAAAAAAAAAGCATCTCCCCATCACTCTAAAACGTCTTTTCTTCGAATTATAGGAACTGACCCAAAGATTTCACACGTATTCTGTACACACATGTAAAATCAACTAAAGATCATCAAAATGGGCATCAAATTAAGGAAGCAATAACTTCAGAAGAAAATTATTACCCCTAAATCATTTTAAAATGACCTCAAATTACAGTTCAAAAGTTTAGCTTTAAGTTCAATCAAAGTAGAGAGAAGTCATTTTGTCTGCCCATGAAGTTGCTCCCAATCATACCCTTAAGTTCGTTTTCTGCAAGATGAAGACTTAAAAAGTGTTATAAAGACTAAGGAGTGTAGCTAGATAGGAACCGACCTGTAACATCTTGTTGACATTACTAGCACCAAAAACCTTGTGCACATTTGCAAACTTCTGGGGCTCATCTGCTGGAAAATAAGGGGCAAACACGCAATCTTGGGCGCACCTTCTCCTTAGAAGCTTGCATGCTGCACATGGTGAGGGTGCACCTTGTTTCCTGCCACCCTCCTTCATAGTGCCAAATGTCCGTTCTAGGTTACCACTAAACCCAACAATCTCTACTGTGGTGAGCAAACTGCCCTTCAATTTATACGGTGCTTTGCCCTTAAAGACAGGACAGGGAGGTCTAGCTAGAGATGGTTAAAAAGACAAGGATATATGTGGCTATAGTGTAGAAGAGGGAGGAGCACAGAAAAGTGGGAAATAGGATTGCTAGGGAAAAGAGAGCAGGCAGGCATGAAGAGGGGGGTAGTGGTGATTTTATAAGCAAAACCAGTACATCTGATACGGGCCCCACAAAAGGAGACCTCATAGATTTTGGTCGACCAGAAACATCTCTCGTAATGTGACATCTTTTAGCGCTATTTTTTTTTTTTAATTCTGTAATAATTTCATCCACAAAGATGATGAAAACGCCGTTTACTCAATATTTTATTTTTTTAAAATAAAATTTTAAATTATTTTAATAAACTGATATTAAAAAATAAATTATTTTACTATATTTATAAACAAAAAATCATTCTAAAATATAATTTATAACCGTACTTTTAAAAAGTAATAGATATTAAATCTATGGTCTATAAACTATTATCAATTATCAATTCATTAATGTATTTATAATTTTCTCTTTATTTTTGATGAATTCAAATCCTAAAAGATATAAAAAAATCCATCTACCATCTAATTAAAATTAAAATAAGGCATTTTAGTGCCAAATTTTAAGGCACCAATTTAATGATAGCGTAAATATTAGATCAATGATAATAACGAAGGCATGATTTTGCTGGGGATTTTGCTATGTTAAAGATGTGTAATGATGTTCTTTTGGTCGGCCCTTCCACGTATTTGAATAGACTCATAAATCACAATGATGCAGCTAGCCAATGGTGTTTTTTTTATTCTTCTTCTTTCCCATTAAAGTACTATATATTGGCCTTTGGACCATGTACGGGAGACCTCTTCTTACTTTCTTAAGTCTTAACTTTAAAAAGATACAAGAGATAAAAAAGAAAAAAAAAAAGACTCAGTACAGTTAAAGAAAAAAAACCCATTACAGTGTATTACTATTTGCAAATTTGATTTTAAATTGCTATAAAATATAAATTTTTATCCGGAAGACATTTATTCACGCTAGTGTCTTACTATTATGATTGATGTATATATGCCATGCCGTGCTAATTTTTTAATAAAAAAGAATCAACATGTTTTTAGGAAGAAAAAAAACAATCATGACTACTAAAGTCATACATCAAACTAAATCAAATAAATTAATAATATTTAGATTTAGATGGTAATCTAAGTTAGCATGTTCAATCCTCGTCTAAAGCAATTTAATAAAAAACAAATAAAAAAATAACAAAGCATAATCTTAAAAGTATCTAATATAAAATTATAAAATTTAAAAAATATATCAAAAAATAAAATAATTTAGCAAACCTATCTTGAACTGAAACATGTAAATAAAATAATCCAATAAAAAATACAACATGAAAAATTACAAAACATAATTGTAAAACCAACCCAATATTTGAAGATCGAAATGGAAAAAAATTAAATGTTCAAAAAAATACTTAATTCTACTCGAATTAACTTACCAAACCATACTTTAGGTCATGAGATTGGGATGGTAAAAAAAAACTGAAGAAAATTATGAAACCCAATTTGTTTTTTAAAAAAACCAATGAGACCAAATGTTAAAAATAAAATTAATGTAAAAAAACATGAAAAAGGTTAATGTCAACTCAAGTTAAATAACTTGTGACTTAGTTTATAAGATCGGATCACTTCATTGAAAAACAAAATTCAATTCTTAACCAACTCAATATCAAATGATAAAATTAAAAATAATAATAATCTATTTTATAAAAAAATAAAAACTAAATATAAAATAATTAATTAAAAAATAGCATTGAGCTTTGTATTGGGTATCTATTTTATAAAAAAGTAAAAACTAAATCTAAAATAAAAATAAATTAAAAGGACAACTTACCATTTTTGATTGGAGGATGAAGTTAAAAATAAAATTTAGTTTTACAAAAGGACAAAAAATAACATTCAAAATAATAAAAAATAAATTAAAAAAAAAAAGACAACTTAAAATCTTGGATTGAAGAATTAAATTAAAAATTAAATTAAATTTTATTAGAAAAATTAAAAAGTATGAAAATAAAATTTGAAATCAAATTAAAACAAAATCAGAAGACAACTTACATTTTCTTATAGACAGTATGAGAAGTCCAAGGAAAAGGAAGAGGAATGAGGAAAAGAAAAAAAAAATGACCATCAAAGCCACAATGTCACTCATTATGATACACGCGTCATCACAAATAGAAGTGGATATTGATGTGCTTCCAATACAACGATGAGAGATGATGTTTGGACACCGAAAAAAGCTAAATACACTTCCACAAAACCTATAATTTCTCTCATTTAATGACATGTATAGTACATTCACCAGCCACCTAAAATAAACTACCAAGCAAAATTTCAAATAAAATTAATATGAAAGGATTAAATTAAAAAAAAAAATTGAGGATCAAAATTAAAAAAGTTACATGAAGTTGCCTTTGACCATGCAAATCAGTTCTTGATGTTGCCAAAAAAAAGATTGAATATTTTTTTAAGATTTAAATTTGCGCCCTGAAACTTTAATTATTTTAAATCAATATTTTTTTTTTAAATTGATCATTTAACTAAGTGATAACAAATTTCTTGTTACTGCTGTGTTTACTCCTACAAAATTATTTCAATTTCAACTCCTTATAGCGTTTTCTTGCACTGAACATATATTATTTTAAATTAGAAATATAATTCAAAATTCTATAGAAAGTGGGGAATACACTAATATAAGTTGCTAAACTTCAGGATGATATGAAATATTTTGAAATTTTTTTACAGTACTAGTAATAATTTCTCAGGGACTAAGATGGTATTATGCATCTAATAAAGAAACAAAGTGTTTTTTTTTTTTTTTTGAAATGGTGTGGAGCCATGGCCCTTCAATCCAAGCAGACGCGCCGCCTCAGCACCTAAAGCTGACCAAATGTTTTAAAAATCTAGTCAAGGCTCAAAACTAGTTTTTTTTTTTTTTAATCCAACCACCCCTAAAAGTTATTGAACTAAATGACAAATAATTTATTCAATACTTTCAAAGACAATGGTTTTTTTAAAAAAAAGGCACATATTTTTCTTGCTATGTTGGCTAAAAACTAGTAGCAGTCATGCAAGAGTTCGGCATGCTAAAAAAATGCAAGTCGGAATACCACCCTTGTTATAGCACGAGTTGTGTAATAAAGTGATACAATGGTGGCGTGGGTTATCGGTTGTTGGTTTTTTCTTTTTTCTTTTTTTGTGGGTGATCCGATGTGTACGTTGGAATTCTAGCTCTTAAATTCCACGCCTTTATTTTTGATACTTGGGTGATGCGGCATTGGATGAAGTATAAAATCGTGTGAAGTTATGGAATAATTAAAAGAAAGAACTTGATTTAAAATGGACTAGGTGCACTGCCTGTAAGTGTCTCCTTTTTATTTTCCTTGGCTATTGTGATGACTTCGATCTCGTCAACATATAGGATTTATACAATAGGAAGTTGGCATTGATTCATGGAGTGTGTGAGAATGTGATAAGAGTTATTTTTTAATTTTTAGAAATGATGAAATAACCGTTGTGCTGAGATCAAAACTTACTTAGAAAATAAAAAGTATCTTGATTGCTGGTGTTGCATTAATTAAAAAAAAAACCTTGATTATTCTTATAAAGTTTATAATGTAATGAAAAATCAAAATATAGAAAAGAAGAAAATGATTGAAAGCACTCTAGTTAGAAAAGTTAATCAAATAGGGTGGTTTTTTCCGAGCTAGGAAATATTTATTGTAAATAATTTTTTAGGACATTATACTAATTACATTCCAAATATATATTGTTTTTTTTAATAAATAAATCATGTAATGGCATATAATTTGAGTTTGAGTGGTCAGGATAGGAAAAAAAAGGATAATAAAAAAATATAGAGCAAATGTAACATGGAAAAATGACATAGACAGAACAAAACACAAAAACAATAGGAATCGTATAAAATTCTAATTTAAAATTTTATTATTAAATATTATCTATTTAATAAGTTTTTTAAAATAAAAACTAAATAATTCTATTTATATCAGCAAAAACTTCACAAACAAATCTAAAAAAAATATAAACCAAATATATAAAAAAAATAACATTTTTACTTGAACACATTCTGCAATCTTTTCAACCATAGCTATTTAGTAGCCCACAACAAACAAAATAACCTAAGATTACAACACAAAACAAGCAATAACCTGAGATTGTTGGGTTTCGATACCTATTAATAAAGATAAAAGCAACACAAGAAAAACAATAAGTATAATAACATGAAAATATATCGATTATGGATCACACATAAATCCTAATTCAAAATTTTATTACTAGATTTTTTTTAATTAGTCTCTTGAAACACAAGATAAACAACCTTATTTACACTAGTAAAAACATCCTAAACAAATTTAGAAAAATAATAAAAGAGTTCTAAATCAAATACAAAAAAAAATCCTAAACAAACTAGTAAAAATATTGCAAATCTTAAATAGTAACTTCTAGACCTTATTCAAAGATTTTTTTGATATCTGATGGCTACAAAATCTTAACCTTAGAGAAAATATGGCTTCTATAATTTTTGAGCAAATTTTTAGCCCAATCCAATAATTAGATAAATAATTATACTCAATAGCATAAAGCTACGTGTTAAAGAAAAATCTTCCACATCAATAAAGTGAGAAAGCATATCACCACTAATTTTATTTTTCTTCCCTCTAAAAAAAAGAAAAGAAAAGGAAAGACAATTGACCTTAGCTAATGTTATCAAACCACGACCATCCTTTATACTCAAATGCCATAAATATCCTTTTTTTTATTAGTAAAGTAAATGTATTATAGGGATAGTTTTTATACATTGCATTTCATTAAATACTAGCTTGGTGTTTGCACTTTACCGCCGGGCTAAATTATTTTTTTATGCATAAAAATAATGTTTAAGTACCATAAGTGTATTAAAAAAAAAGAAGAAAAATATATGACTTGGGTCATAGACCTGACTAAGTTTAATAAGTCGATTTTATTTGAAATTAGAGAAAAAAAAATAGATGGATCAAATTTAAAAAGAAAAGTGATTAGGAAAATCCGGGGGGGAAATGTTTTTTCAAAGAGAATAAA